ATGTGTTTTTGTGTGTAAGGAAGGTACCATCCAGATGTCACAAAATCCAAGGAATTTGCTACATGAGGGCAAATTAGAGAAAGACATCAGGAGCTATCTTAGGTTTGTTTCCCACGAGAAAGAGGAGCATTCTCATGGGAGTTAAAATAGAAATCATCCTAGACTTCAAGGGTTAGAAGAGGCTGGAAGCACGAGCGAGCTGTGAGGAAGCAGAAAGATGGTGTGCAGGCTTCTGATTGTTCAGCGTTCTTCACTGTTGCCACCCCCCAGGAAAGCTTGTGAGGCAACACCAGCAAAAGGTCAGCTGCACTGACTGGTAGAGGGTCTTCTCCCCTGAGTTCATAGAGGCACTTCCCTACCAAAGAAGATGCCAATGCCAAGAGTCTAGCCAAGCCTGGAAGCTCTTACAACCATAGGAAAGTAACACAGTGAAGTACATTTCTGCCAACAGGGTTCAAAGCCCCACTTTCCTTTCCTTTCACCTCTATCTCTTGGGTCACTGAATTGGCCTTGGAAATGATTTCAGCTTAACCTTTGTGAGGAAGATCTGTATCCCAGTGGGATTTAACAACATTCAAGAAGCTAACCACTCTTCTAATGGAAAACACAAAATGAGCCACTCTCATTTTTATTTAAATATGAACATAAGTCCTTTTCACAATACATAAGGACATGGAAAAAAGGATTAATATAATTTAGAGGGCTGGATTCTCATGTAACTATTATTCTCTATGTGCCTTTTTTATAGCACAGAGCAGAATTTGTTGAATACACATTGCATGATAACAGTGCAATAAAACCAGAAATTATTTATAAAATATAATTCTCACCAGAAAAATTGGAAATTTAAAAGCAGTACTCTAAGTCATTCTTGGATTTAAGAGAAAAAAACAACTCACTGGATAATTAATTTACCGCAATTATTAGTGCCAACAAGTGGTGTTTGTAAGGTGACCAATTTCAAAGTATAGCCTCAAACAGCTCCCCCACTCAAACTATAACAACAACAACAAAAGTAATAAACCATATGGAGGAATGCGTATAATCAGGCTTCAAGAAATGTATAAGAAAGAAAAGCCTAACACATGAACTTAATAAGAAAAATATGCTATTCCACACAAAGAGGATGAAAAAATATGATAAATGTGAAATCGTTCCCACTATTTGAATAGAAGACTAAATATAAAGATGATGGTAATTTTTGCCAGATTAAAACCAAAATTTGATGTAGAATGTCTGCAAATCTTAAAAATAATGTTTTGGGATTTGGAAGAAATAGTACTGAGTAATGTAAAATTCTTTGCAATAGCAGCAGCAAGAACAGCACTAACAAACAACTATACAGAAAAGCAAACTCTGGAGGAAATATGTGCAACGTGGATATGACAAAAAATTTATGTTTGTGTGGACATAAAGATGTCAACAACACACATTGGGTACTACTAGGCGGGGAAGGTGAAAGGGGGCCGTGGGTTGAAAAACTTCTTATGGGTATTATGTCCGCTGCATGCGTGATGGGATCATTTGCACACCAAATCTCAGTGACATGCAATTTACTCATGTAAGAAATCTGCATCTGTATCCCCGAGTCTAAAATAAAAGTTGGAAAAGATGATTGATGTTTGTAATACATGAAGAGTTCTTATAAATCAATAAAAAGGCAAACATCATAACAGAAGAATGTACATTGTATAGCAGGAAATTCACAAAAGGAAAGCTTGTTACTAATATTGAGAGCTCTGTCCTTGCCACTACCTCAATTACTAAATTATCAAATAAAGAAAGAATTGGTGGAAATTGTGAAAGTAGTGCAGGCACATAGGACTTGCAGTCATTATTGATGACATCGCTCATCACATCTCCTTTTAAAAAGGACATTTAGAAATACATACAAAAGCTCCTAAAAATTCATAGCAATTCCTATTCTAGGAATTTGTCTTAAGAGAATAATCAGAAATATGTGCAAAAATGATTATAAGTGGTATTTAAAATAGCTTTATAATCACAAAATAATAGAAATAACTCAATATTTAACAATAGGCAATTGATGAATCAAAATTCAGTAAGGCTTTCTTAGAATATTTTATGTGTTAGTGAAGAGTCTTTTAAATTTAATGATGTGGGAAAATAGTCACAATACATTGCTAAATTAATAAAGTAGGATATTAAATGCTACCTTTAGTAAGAATCGAGTAAAAACTACTTGGAAATCTATTACAATGTTAACTAATAGTTTTCTCTGAGTAGTGAAATGATGATAATTATTTTCTCCTTTGTATCCTTTAATTTTTACAAGGTTTGGATAATCTATATAAATACTGTCTCCATATTTAAGGAAAATACAACATATATTATTTAAAATATATTTGTTTTTATATTTAAAAAGCTGACATTATAGGAATATTTCGATATTTAAAAAAATACCTTAAGTATAATATATCATTTGAGTGGGAAAAAAGGTGATTTTCTAAGACTTTCTCTGTGTGTGACAATTCCATTTTGCAACTAATGCTTTGAGAACTGACAATTACCTTTGCCTCTAGTGGTCCCTTTATTGACAGGTAAAAGACAGGAGCCTTGGGGGATGAAGAACTGAATAGAGAGAAGCAACAGTGATGTGTTGGGAGTCTCAGCATGCAGTCCTCTTTTACTATGGGTGGGAAACAGTTGAGTTTAGACACCAGCCAAGTTCTTGCTTTTAAGTTTCAGTTTCAGAAGAACATCTGAGAAAAATGACCAAGTGAAGCCTTTTCTAGTTTCACACCTAGTAAGTCCTTGATACTTAGGCCAGGGTCCCATTCTTGCTGAACCTGAAATAGGCAACACTTAACTATACAGGCTCTCATCTACTTCCAAAGGCTAATCCTCCAGGGGCAAGCCAGCAGATGTGGGCAAGTGGTGACTACATCCCTGAGACAGAGGGACTACAAGCTTCACTATCATTTCAGAATGAGTTTTAATTTTCAGATTATGCTAGTACCGTTTGGTTTTTTATAATAGTCTTTTGGTTCAGTAGCTGCTAACTCCTTAATTATTGTTTATTATTAATATTGTAACCTATATTTTTTATACCCTGTAGACTACTTGAAAAAAATTTTGATGTTTTAGCACTGATGGAATAAAGTTTCATGTAACTGCGAAACAAATTTATATGCAACACCTAAAACATTGCTTATTTGAATCTTTAGATATACAATATTCACATTATTATAGTAAGATGATATTTAACTCACATGTATTATGTTTATAAAGTTTCTAAAATAAAAACTTGATAGCAAATCCAACTATTACTTCATTGTCATGAACCGATGTCATCTAAACTCTTACTGTAAAAACATTTTTGTTACATTGGATGAATAAGAAAAAGTGATATTCAAATATTTTTAAAAGAGAATACATTTGAATGATATTATTTCCCTCTTTTAATTTATGTTTTTCCTCCTAATATTGTTAAGTCACAGTATTTTCTCCAAAACGGATTGGAAGCAGGTATCTCACTATTTGTTTCCAAATACAGAGAGATCGGTAAATAATTACCTCTTAGCAGTTCACCTTAAACTAAGCAAGAAATGACATTCTAGATCTATTTTCTCAAAGTAAAGTCTTTGTATCTGCTGTAACAGAACATCAGGGGAGGTTGAAGAAAGGAAGGAAGGAGGGAAAGGAAGGAAGGAAGAAAGGAAGAAAAGGAAGGAAGGGAGGGAGGAAGGGAAGGAAGGAGGGAAAGGAAAGAAGAAAAAAGAAAAGAAAGGAAGAAATGAAAGAAGGAAAGGAAAGAGGAAAGAAGGAAAGGGAAGGAAAGGAAAGGAAAGGAAAGAGGGAAGAAGGAAAGGAAAGGAAAGAGGGAAGAAGGGAAGGAAAGGAGAGGAAAGAGGAAAGAAGAAAAGGAAAGGGAAGGAAAGGAAAGGAAAGGAAAGGAAAGGAAAGGAAAGGAAAGGAAAGGAAAGGAAAGGAAAGGAAAGGAAAGGAAAAAGAGTTACTTGGTTTCAGAAATACCATGTTCTTATGCCAGAAGACAGATTTCAGTTTTGTTATTTGAAATAACTTTTGTTAACCAGAATGTAATATAATGGGTAATGTCAGGGATTTATGGGATTTAATATATGGGTCATTAGATGATAAGCAAGGGATGTAGACAGGAAATTATCAGAAACTAAAGACAAACTTAATTGACTTTACAGTTTGGCCTGGAATTATACCACATTGGGCGATGATACTTAGAAATGCTCACCATCATCATCACCATCATCATCGCTGTTATTAAGTGCCTGGACACTTGCTAATAAGTAGATGAACATGCTCTGTCTATAGTATTTCATTTAAACTCTCAAGAACCATTGAATAGGTAATTCTTTTTGACAGATGGGCTCAATGTGATATGGTTAGTGTATAATATGAGACTTGAATTTAGGTCTCTGTAATCCTGAAGTCCATGCTAGTAACCAATTACAGACAACAGGAATTTCTACAATAGCTTTTACTGTCAAATTTATAGGAAACTTGTAATAGCCTTTTTGCTTATGTCCACATGGAGTGAATATTGAGGTCAAATCATTAAAGTCTACTAATGGATGAAATGCTCATAGAGTAGTCAGCTCTAGCAGTTTTAGCAATTTAAAAAAGCAATGATGATTGGTGTCATAAAAGCCGTAGCACATGTTCCTAGAAGGGAAAATGCAACTAAACTGCTTTTTTCAATCATTTCGTCGCATGTGCATTTGGCAAACCTGTCACTGCTTCTGGCTGTTGTCTTTTTTTTTAATGCAAGTATTTCTCTGCATGGATTTCTTTACTTCATGATCTTCTTTTGTGTATTGTGTTTGCTTTTTGAAATCATAGCTTGGGAGTTGTTTATGCTTCAGCGATTTTTAAAACAAGGTTACATTTTAATGTAAATGTATTTAAATTGACCCCACTTGTGTAAATGATGTGAAATAGCTCAGCAATGTTCCCATGACCTATTTTAATACCTTTCGATATTTTATGTGACCCCCAATAAGCTGGAAAGATAATAACGGAAGGCTTGGCATCGGGCTACCACTGTCACTATGATGCTGAGTCTGGTGTCAGCAGCGAAGATGGGGGTGGGAAGCCACCGAGGAAGCTGGAGGTTGACACAAGTGGCGGTAAGAGCACATCATTACCTCGGAATGACCTTCAGAAATCCTCTGCAAAAACAACCTGTTTCCATTTTTCCTATTCGTGTTTCTTCCTTCTGCCACCTTTTTGTTTTCTTTTCTACTAATGAAATAGCATGGCCAAAGGTAGTTGACAGGCCCTAAGGGGAGCTTTAAAACTAACATCAGGTATACATTTATTATTCTTTTTTGAATATATTGATGCCTAGGATTATAAACAGGATGTTAGATTTTAAAATACTGGTAGGAATTTTCAGATGAGTCTTATTTCAATAGCCTGCCTCCCAGATAGCTGAACAGGTAGATGAACTTGCCTTAACTGACCCAATTGAAGCCACAGAGAACCATGGTACATTTCACAATGATTCATTTGAACTTTTTCTTTTTTTTAATTAGGAAAGGATTCATTGCCATTAGCATATGACCTGGCCCTTGGTGGTAAGTATTCCATCTGTTAAGAGTTCCAGTTAGAGTGTTCCAACACACCATGACTCATACAAATCTGCTCAAACTTCCTATGTTCTTGAAATCACCAGGTTTTCTGGTATGTATTGAATGACTTCTAAAAAATGTCATGATTTGAATATATGTATGTGTATGGGGGCAGGGAAAGATATTAATTTATTCATCAAATGGTCACATTATTGCACCTTCAATATTTAATAATTCTCATCGAGCACTGTGAGGCACTTGAGATGTTACTCTTCTTTCAAGCAACAACTTAGGCAGCCATGGTTTTATAGATCCTGGCAGAAGACATAAGACTTCTGGGTCAGAGAAAAAGGACTTTATTGCTTATAGCAAAAAGCCATAGCCAGAGTACCTGTATTTATGCTGTTTCCCTGAGCTCTAATTCTCCCTTGGCAACATGAAGAGGGCCAGGTAACACTTGAATATGCAGTGGCCTGAGTTACAAGAGGGGAATTCTGAGTTTAGAGAAGCCACAACTTTTATAGTGGGCATTCAACTAGAGGAATTCAGGTGCACCTTTCCAGACATTTATTATGCAATGCAGATACTGGTTATTATAGACTAAATTGAATTAAAGCAAGAAAATCTAGTTATTTGTAAGCAATGAAAGGTGTATGCAAGGAAGATTATTAGGGCTTTCTTTATGCCAGGCACTGTGCTCAGCATTTTACATAAATTATCTCACTGTCAAAGATTCTGTGAGTATAGCATTGCTATTCCCATTTTATGGATAAGAAAATGAAAGATTAGAGAGGTGTTATTTGCCAAGTTTAGTAAGTGGCAAGGATGGCATTTTTTACCCAGGTCAGTCTGACTTCCAAGTACACACTTATTCCACTAAACTAAATTGCCACTGTTTGTGAATATTGCTTATTCTCTTCTATTACATATTTTTCAAAAGCCCATGGGGTTACCATAAAAAATGTGATATTTTTATACTGATATTTCTTAGAAAAGCTTCAATTACTCTTTCTCCCTTGCTTGAGGAACATCACGTCTGACTCCCCTATGGTGTGTATGTGTTCATATACTGCCTCAGCTGGATGCCATTAGCACTTTCTCTCCTAGAATTTAGGCATAGTATATTACTACATGGTGGCTAGGCAATTTTATTTCCCTGTTTCCCCAAATGTTCTTTAATTAATTCATAAATTTAGGAACTAGATTAGAAAAACAGAGGATTTTATTTAAATGTTTTTCATAACTGCCTTTTTAATATACTTTCATGCAGGATTTTGAATAGCAACAGACACCCTATCAAAGAGACTTGACACACGTTATTGTTTCCTATTGCTCCAATTTAATTGTGTTTCAAATCTGTAATGAAATAAAATGGACCATATTCTCTCAGGTGAATTGGCTACATTTCTGTGAACAAATACTTTATTCTACATTTTGCTTTGAAAGCTTTTAGTTAAAAGTTATGAAATAACTGCTGTGATAAGCAGACCTGTAAAGTCAACCTCCACCCTATTGATAGATGGCCTGAAATTTTTATTTTACTCCTTCGAAAGGAGACATCATAAATTACCTTCCAGACACATTTTAAGGGAAATGTAATATCAACCGTTATTCCTTTACCTCAGAATGGTTTATCATAGTAGCTGGCAAGAGCCGAGGAAACACAGCAAAGGATAACCATGTCGTGGGTTAGAAGAGGTAATGGAATGGTAAGACAGTCTTGAATGGGGTATAAAGTAGAGAAGAAGTGAGAAAGATCAGAACTCCAGGCTTCTGATAGGTTGCTGGTGATGATGTGGCAGGTAAGATGGCTAGCCGAGAAGGCAAGCAAGTAAAAAACAAATGATGGACACTTGCCTACTTTATACGTTTTTGTAATTTAGAGTTTGCCACCTTGGTATAACTTATTTCATACAATCTAGTCCAGTGGTGTTTTTATAAATGAAAAAGAAGATTAAATTGATATAAATTATTAAGATGACCCTTTTCAAAGCTCCTTGCTCCCTAATTACTATTCTGCAGTTGGGAAATGGAAATGCTTTAGGCGTTTGGCATAACATGCTTTTCTTTACTTATTTTGCTTGCATATTTCAGAACATGTATATAACTTCATTAAGTAATAAAAAAATCCACTTGGTACCATTAAAAACATATGAAACCTATATTATATTTATTGAACTATGAACTATGATAGCTTGTCCACCCAGGTTTGCCAGGAAATTATGGATGAAAACTTGTACTTAAAGAAGATTATTTATGCTGAAAACAGTCCCAGTCTACAAAGTGCTGTCTTGCCCTGTGGTCCTGTTTTGCCAAAGGCAAATTAGTTTCTGAACACAGGTGAGAGACAATACAAATTGGTGTCTTTAGTGACAGGTCTTACCTTAAGCTAAAAAGGTAAGACTTTTTTACTAAAGACACCAATTTGTGATGACTAAATCTAGATATAATAGCTTATCATCTGGGAGTAAGAATGATCACTTCACCCTGTATTATGATTGTGTTGCTAAAGGCCCGTGTATAAGGAACATAGGCCCAAGACAGACATATTATGCTGCTATAGAAAATAATGATTTCCGGGCCAGTGCAGTGGCTCACACCTGTAACCCCAACAATTTGGGAGTTTGAGACCCAGGAGTTGGAAGTCAGCCAGCCCAACATGGAAAGACTCTGTCTCTACAAACAAAACAAAACAAAACAAAATAAAAAACAAAACTAGCCTCACATAGTGGCATGCACCTATGGTCCCAGCTACTTGAGAGGCTGAGGCAGGAGGATTGCTTGAGACCAGGAGGTTGAGGCTGACGTGGTCCATGTTCGCACCGCTGCCCCCCAGCCTGGGTGACAAAGCAAGACCCTGCCTCAAAAACAATAACAAAAAATAAATAAAGAAAAAAAGAGACAAAGAAAATAATAATTTATAAGAAGACAATGCTCACTATTTTTCTTATTGCATAATTTTCCACTTACTATTATTTTTAAGAAAGGAAGTTTGTATGTATTTGTAGTATGTGAGGGAGAGAAAGAGAGAGAAAGAGGAAGCCAAGACAGAGTGAGACGAAGATTTTATTGATTAAGACATGGGAACATAAAGATTTTTTTTTTTTTGCTTATTGCTGCTTATTTTCAACATTCCTGATGTTCAGCTTTTCTTTAATATCAGTGTGTTCATTAAATTTGAAAGCATTCATTTCATAATGAAAAACCATTATTAATTCATGGTGCATGTTATAGTCAGTATCTTAGATTCAATGGAGAAAGTGTTTGGCCTCTTGATATCGCATACAAACATCTCATACTGTAAATAGTGTTACATAATATTATAGTGTCTCCTCCCCTGTTCACTTGGAATTAAAGTAACCTTGATTTCTAACCTTATTTTTATAGCACCAACAATGAATTTAGTGGTGGCTGAAACAGCAACAATCAACTCAAACAAGGAATCCCAGCGATTGGCACAAGAAAAGTATACACTGGAGAAGAAAAAAGCAATGGAGGCAGATGAAGTGCCCCAGCACAGAGACACTGACATAGTACAGGGAAAAGGGGAGGCAGCGCTGTGGGGAGAAGCAGGAGTTGTTCATGAGGCTCCCTTGAGGGCGTGGAAGCCAACAGCAGAGCTGTCAGAACTGGTAGAAGAGTTCACAGAGAAAAGGGAGATTTTTCCAGGTATAGAAAGGGGGGCAGAGGCAGCAGCAGAAGCAGAAGGGGCCAGAAGGCTGGGCGAAGGGGGGTCAGACTCCACTGGACAAGCGGCAGCAAAAGATGCTGTGGGCCTGAGTAAAGATGAGGCTCCTGTAAAGCAGGCCTTGATGCTGATGGTGCTTGAGACAGAGAAGGCAGCTTCTGAAGGGGAACAGGGTTTGGAGAAGCCAGTGCTTGCAAGTAAAGCAGCAGCCCTGAATTCAGAGCATCTTAAGGAGGTGGTAACCCTGAGAGAGGCAGCGACATCGGAGGAGGGAGAGGCTGAGGGTGGGGTGGCCGTGAGTGATGCCAGGGAAAGTGAAGAGCAAACATCCATAGACCTAGAGGACACAGAACCCATGGAGGACACAGCATCCAAGAGAGAGGATGGTTCTGAAGGGGCAGTTCTTGGGGGAGAGGAACCAGCCAAAGAGAGAAAGTATGTGAGAACAGAAACACCCTTGAGCCCCTTTGCAGGAACAGCAGAGGCAAGCCGGATGCAGGGCAGCCCTGAAGACCTTTGCAAGGAAGATGTGGAAGGGGAAGAGATAGCTTCTGAGGCAGAAGCTAATAGGGAAGATGATAGGAAAGAAATGTTGCCCAAGGAATTAGATGTAGCAAGAGAGGGAAGGAAAGCTGAGAGACCAAAAACGCCTCTGAGGAAAACCAAATCTGAGAGAGAAGAGGTGACAAGGCCAAATGCACTTAAGGATAAAGACGCTTTTAAAGAAGAGCGAAAACGTAAAGCAGAAGAGGGGAAATCAGAGACAGAAGTAAGAGCTGAGGAAGAGACAAAAGCCCCACCCAAGGAAATGGGATCTGATGCTGAGAACGAAGCACCTGTGGAGGCATCTGAGTTGTCTGACAATCCAGGGCTTCTAGGAGAAGATTCAGTAAAAGAGACAGTGGATCCCATATTTGAACCGACACCTGGATTTGAAAACTCGCTGGAAAACATAACAGCTTTGACAAAAGAAGGAGGAGAGGAAAGACTGAGCGAAGCCAGAGACACAGAGCACAAAGATGGAGAAGAGCTATTGAACAGGGAGAACAGGGCCCTGGAGGAGGGGCCCCACCAGGATGGAGAGGGGGCCTTAGCAGCTCCTGAAAGTGAGCCAGCCGGAAAGGTGCAGGCCCCTGAGGGGCTGATCCCAGCCACAGACCCGGCAGAGGAGCTGGCCGCCAAAGATCACAACTGCAGTGCAAGAATGGAGGAGAGGGCTGAAGGGCAAGAAGGGGTGGATGTCATGCTAAGGACCCAGGAAGATGTTCCTGAGGGAGATTCCACGATGGCAGAAAAGTTCAGGGAAGAATTGATGGATGAGGACCCAGAGGAGGAGGAGGACAAAGAGTGCACTCTGGGGAGAGAAGTGATTCAGGACGGGAACTTGGAAGTGGACAGGGACTTGGGAGGAGGGGGAAACACAGAAAAGAATGAGGGCCTGGGAGGAGAAAGGGTTGTGGCTGAGGAAGTTCTACACGGAGGAGGGGAAATGGCAGAAACAGCCAGAGAGGAGAGGGAGGTGTTGGCAGGTTTGGAGACAGCTGAGGAGAAAACAATAGCAAATAAAGCCTCCTCCTTTTCAGATGTTGCTGAGGAAGAAACTTGGCACCAAAAGGATGAGTTAGTAGGAAAAACAGCAGCTGCAGGGAGGGCGGTGGTAGAGGAATTAGTGCAGAGTGAGGAGGAAATGTCAGCGGCAGAGGAGATGACAGTGACATGTACAACAGAGGCTGGGGTAGGTACCCCAGGAGCCCTGGAAGGGAAGACCTCAGGGCTAGGACAGGAGCTAGAGGCAGAGTCAGAGGGCCAGGAGGCAGCCACTGGGAGGCAGGAGTTGAGAGCAGCTGAAAAATTCACATTAGGATTACCACGGGAAGGAGAGAGGGAACTGAGTATAGAGAGTCTCCAGGCGATGGCAACACATCCTGAGAAGACTGATTTCACTGCAACCCAAGAGAAGCAACAGCGCATGGTGCAAGGAGAAAGCGAGGCTGCAGATGTTTCTCCCAGCAACGCGCAGGCCTAGGAGACTTGCTGGTAGATGGTGAGTTGAAGTCTGATGTGCTTGCAGGACTAAATAGCAACCCTGTGGTGGGTCTCCTCCTCTTGGGGCTGGTTGTTCCTTTATTGGTTTCTGTGCACATATAAACACACAGACTTCAGTTCTGTGTCACTTATCCCTGAGCCTATCAGGAGAGGGGCTGGGAAAGATGGAGGAGGGGCCAAAGCACACATGGGGACCCACTGCTCTTCCCTGCATGACAAGTCATGCTCGGTCTTTGCAAGGCAGCTCCTTGAAGTTGTGAGATCCGTGTCTCCCAGATAGGACCCCAAAGAGGAAATACAGAGGAGAATGTGCCGCAAAGGACAGACCACAAGAGTAAAGAATCAAACTCTATTTCACAATGCATCTCCACCCTAGTGTTTTAAAGGATGAGTCGAAGGTTGTTTGTAATCATTTGCCTTTAAATGGTCCCTTTGATTTCATTTCTGCAGTTTTGCAGTGTTTAACACATATAATTTTTACAGATATGTGTTAAACACTGCAAAATATAAGCATTCTATATTGAATATTTTACATTATATATGTAAAATATTCAGGTTATACATCTTGAGGAGTGGAACTAAAGACTAAAATTATTTTTTTGCATATCCTGCCATTTCCTTAATGCCCTCACATTCTTAGTGTCCAGTTTCCACTATTGTGAGTGATTTTATTCTGGTACTACTATCCTTTTTATTGTTTTTCAGGATAATTTAAAGATGTCTTCTGGAAGACGTAAAGAGTGGAGAAAGATTTGCTCAAGCATCTCACCAGGACTCTTGATTTTGTCTCTCTTTTCTTTTTAACTCCGAGCTATACTTGTCTGAGATGATTCCCAATCTGTCAACCCTGGTCAGTAGCTCAGTAAGCACCTTGAGAATAGCTCAAGTAGATTTGTAGGATCCTTCTTAGGAGCCATGGTTCCTCCTGGAGAAACTCGTGAGGCTGTTACACATTCTACACACCTAACACTATTTTCAAACAAAAATGATGATTTTCAAATGTTTGACTTTTACCAAAGATCACTGGAAGGCCCAGTCCTAATATTAGGGGTTTGTCTAAAGTCCTTTTTATTTTACAATACAGAGCCCAAATCCATTCCACAATCTCAGATTCATACATGGGAAATTTATTTATAATCTGTGGTTTGGGGCTTTAATGAATTGGTCTGTGATCTCTAACTTATTTTAGCAAACAATTTCATGGGTCTTTATAATAGAATGACTTATAATCCTTTGGGTATATACCCAGTAATGGGATTGCTGGTTCAAATGGTATTTCTATTTCTAGATCCTTGAGGAATTGCCATACTGTCTTCCACAATGGTTAAATTAATTTACACTCCCACCAACAGTGAAAAAGCGTTCCTATTTCTCCACATCATCTCCAGCATCTGCTGTCTCCTGATTTTTTTAATGATTGTCATTCTAACTGTGTGAGTTGGTATCTCAATGTGGTTTTGATTTGCATTTCTCTAATGACCAGTGATGATGAGCTTTTTTTTCATATTATAAAGACACATGCACACGTATGTTTGTTGCAGCATTGTTCACAATAGCAAATACTTGGAACCAACCCAAATGCCCATCAGTGATAGACTGGATAAGGAAAATGTGGCATATATACACCACAGAATACTATGCAGCCGTAAAAGAGATGAGTTCATGTCCTTTGCAGGGTCATGGATGAAACTGAAAAACATCATTCTCAGAAAACTGATACAAGAACAGAAAACCAAATACCGCATGTTCTCCCACATAAGTGGGTGTTGAACAATGGACACATGGACACAGGGAGGGGAACATCACACACTGGGACCTGGGGGATGGGGAGCTAGGGGAGGAATAGCAAGGGGTGAGGGGACTGGGAAGGGATAGCATTAGGAGAAATACCTAATGTAGATGACGGGGCAATGGATGCAGCAAACTACTGACACGTGTATACCTACGTAACAAACCTGCACGATCTGCACATGTACCCCAGAACTTAAAGTATAATAAATAAATAAATAAATAAGATTTCATGGAATGTATTTGCACTTTTACTTAGAAATATTCATTCTTTTAATTTATGCCAGAATAATAAAGGAAAGTCTTATTTCAAAATGCTCTTTGTTTTTTGTGAGTGTTTCTGTAGTTCTACTTTCTGGGGTAGACTAGTAAAATGGCAGCTTGTAGCATTTGATCCCTGGGGCCTTATTTACAGAGCCATTCAAATTTAAATAAAAGTAGTAAATAATTAAGTTAAGCAGAATGAGTATAATGATTATAGCGATAGGCAGCGCACATCAGCATGTATGCCAACGTTCTGTACTCTTTAGTTGCTGTCATTCAACGGAAAAGAAACTTGGACTAAATGAGTGTGCTGCTCACCTTCCCAAGTTCTGTTATTTCAAACCTGTGAACTAACCTTGCAGTTCATTATAAATCAATAGTCACAATTGCATTCTAAATTACCCCCGATATTATTTTCTAGTTGTATATCAGCCTGCCTCCTAGGGGTTTCGATTTCCTTGAAGACATACCAGTGCCCCAGAGTGCATGTGTTTATCTACCATTTCTTTATGTGAGGAGGCAAAAAAAATTTCCTTAAGCAGTGATTTTCCAGCAAGAATAGACATTAGATTTTCATGGGGCACTTTTATAATGACTCAATGCTTTTCCGCACCCCAGAGATTCCGCTTTAATTAGTTTTGATGGATCTATGCATCAGTATATATATATATATTTTTTTAACTTTTCACTTGATTCTTCTATATAGCCAAGGTTGACAACTGCTGCTCTAAATCATATAATCCATGCTGGCCACATTACACTCAAGGTCCCTTGGGACCAGGCATATTATCAAAATAGGTATTTTTCATTTTAATGTATGATGGAGCCATTCAATGATCAAAAATACACTGAGCCAGATAGTAGATAGGTCCTTGATGAGAAGGATCAGCATCATCTGCAAATTGGTCCCAGCTCCTTCTCCTACCTACTAAATTAGAAACTCTTGGTGGGGTCCAGTAATCCATATCTTAACAAGACCTTCATGTGATACTGGTGTACACTGATGTCTGAAAACTGCTGTCATGGACTATTGATAGTATTAAGGTTTAGTCTCAGTTGGAAAGCGAACTGCAGAGGCATTGTGAACTTTCTTTCTTTGCCTCTCTCTGTCTCTCTATCTTTCTCTGTCTTCTGATTTATCTGTCTCTTTCTTCTCTAGGAAATGGCACTCAATATAAAAGCGGTGAAGTCAGGATTAAACCTATTTTTACTATGATTCTATTGATACATACAAGAAGTCCCTCTGCCCTACTCCCTATTGAAGGATATCACTTACTGCACATCATAAATCGCTATAATCTGTCTTAAAGTTTTATGAGTAGATTTCATCTACATTATATTCAAGTTCATTTTTTTTTTTTAACTGAGCTGTGTTACTGTGGAGCTTTAACAGTATTTGTTTCCTGATTTCAACCTCAATGCTACAGAGCACTTTGAATACATTACACCTTATGGGAAAGATAGTAAACTTATTAATCCCCTTGAAAACTCAGTTTTGTATAATGTGCTCAATGGAAATTGCATTGGATTATGTTTACACTTAACACATTTCAACAAAACATCCCATAGCATAATTCTACAATCTGCATGTGAGTTTACCTATGAAATTTAGTATTGTGATATTTTGAATAAGTGAATTCTTTTCCTGCAAATACTATGTTGATAAAATTATTTCTATGTCCACCTGAAATGATATTTTTCCTGTTTCTTCACTATTAAAACATATACCAGTCATATGTTTACAGAGACATGTGAATGGTTCTTTGTATATAAGACTTGACTTTTAATCTCTGTGTTCTTTCCTTATAATATTTGAACTCCACAGAGCAGAGAAGAGAGGATTGGTTTCACTGGGCTGTATTTTTCAATACAGTATATGTATTTATACTGATTTCTACGTTCATATGTGTCTTTCACACACAAGAGATGATGTCAGGGAGGAAAATTATTATCACCTATCACCATTTTATAGATAAGTGAACAAAAGCTCAATAAGGTGGCTTGTCTAAAAATCAGTCAGTCTCAGGTTATCTGACTCAAAATTTGGACTTTTTCTTATCGTATACTTCTAAGAAGAGGTATCTTAAATAGATACTAAGATCGTACATGTGAACCTCTACATGTATTTGTTTATTTATAGAAGGGAAAAAAATAAACTTCCTCAATAGATCTTCTATCAGTGGGTAGGGAGTTATATTTCCATCTAGTGTCAATCAAAGAAAAAAGGAGATTATTAAAATAATTCAAAAGCGAAATAGGCAATCAAAGGAAATGTAGGTGGAATTAGGTTTTCTGCTTGAACTTCTTGAGTTAAGCTTTTTCTAAGAGTGTTGTAAATTTAAAGTACAGTTGAGTTCCTTAATCCTTCTAAGATCAATACTTTTGCCAAAATTATTGCCTTTGGAAAAATGATTGTTTGAGAAAAGAAAGGAAAGCCGTAAGGAAGATTCATCCAGTAAGTGAAATATTCCAGTAGGTTCAAGGACAGCCCAGAAGAAGCCGCTTCTGACCTTGGGTAATATTTCCTCTCTGTTTTCTGTACCATTTGATTATGTCATTAAAAAAAAAAATCCCTGACACCATGGCCAGCAGCAAGAGGTACAAGAGAACAGGGAATAAATGCAGCTGGAATTCTTTAACAGTTGCTCTCAAACTCACCCCTCTTCTTTTTCCCTGTGTTTTTTGTTCTTTATTCTAATATGCACTGTGACAGGAAAACTATGCTTTTCAAAATAACTGGAAACTGACTTAGCAAGATAAAATGCTGGAATTTGAGAATGCACATGCCTTCTCTAATTTTGTTCCAGAAGGCTCAAACTGTTTAATAAATCTGTGGGACTCTTACAATATTTTGGAAAGTTGAAATACCCTCATTTTTAATTAGGGAAAATGAAGTACACAAAAGATTCTTGCGACAGAGAAGCTAGTGCCTAAGTCTTGCTGCTTTGTCAAATGTTTCCTGGTCTTTATTAAATATCTACTTAAACATTGTATTAGGGACCCATAAATTATGAGCGAAATCTCACAGTTGTTAGGGAAATTGATGTAATGAGACACAGAAACTTTCAAACTGGTGTGAATGTACCTCCCAGGGAAGATGAAGCTTTTCGTGGGATTCATTGGCAAGGCTAGTTTGCAGATGCTTAATCTCCATATGCACTTTATCTTAAAATGGACTTGAGAACCAGTCTGCAGTCAATGTCTTTTGTCAATCCCCCAATCTTCTCACAATAGAGGCCAACTCTTCATTCACTTACCAAGTTTACTGTGATGCAATGATCCCTAGAATGACACAAATCAGACAAAGGAGCAATTTGAAATATGGCACAGGAAAGGACTTTAATGACTGGGTAACAAATCTGTCTGCAAATCCGTTGGTTTTCAATTCTTTGTTTTCAACACAACTAAATGAAGATGTGATTGAATTGTCAGCTGATAAGTCATTGAAATATTTTTGGTTTATTATCAGTCTGTAAATTTTAGCAAATCAGAAGGAGTTCAAATAAGAGCATTGTTGTACAGTATAACAAAATAACTCCCATTCCCATTTACTTATTTATGTGACATGCATAATTACTATATTTTTATATCTATAAAACAGAAAGTAGAATAGAACTGATGTTGAACACTGTTATTCCAGCAGTAAATAATATTCATTCACAGACATACAAACTAATTAAAATAGAAATCATTATCTTAGATGCATTTTTACTTTTACTTTTTATGTGTAATATTTGCCAAAATTTATAGTATGAATGTTGTTTTGATCAAATGTGTATTACTAATAATTGCAATGATAACTCAGTCCAGGTGACATTTAACACATAAAGTCTTATGGTCACAAGAAATTTTTGAATTAAAATTTAATTTGCATAATAATTTAATGGCAGATAATTATGACAGGGTGAGAAGTAAAAGACATTTAAGTATAAAAATACACTGAAGTAGCATACATATCTATGGGCAAAGTGGAACAGAAATGTAAGTTTAAGAAAATAAAAAACATGAGATTTTCTAACACTAAAGAAGAGCTTAGCCACATACTTTTGAAAATGAATGTCTTAGGTCAGATTCTTCCAGAAACACTTTGGATCAGAGGTTTGTGTGCAGGTTTATTGGGGCTTGCCCTGTGAACAACACAATGAAGAGCTGAAAAAGCAGAAATGGGCCAAGATACAAGATGGGCAGAGATGTAGTTGCCACAGAGGTGCAACTCATCAAAGGAGAGCTCTGGAGGTGGGATGGCCAAATGCAGATGACGGACCAGGCCTCTATGTCCCCACAACAGGACAGTCATTTGATGTTGACTTCCTACTCAAGAGCAAGCATAATCCTAGGCTCGGCAATTCCTGTGGAGAAACTCAGATAGTGTACCCCACCCCAGACTGCTGGAGACCCATAGTGTCCACTATGAAGAGAGTATCAGAGTGGCACCCCATTGCATCCATGACATGGATAAAGATGATATGGAATTTCTATGGCATTTTTATGTCTTTGGACACACGTAGAAAAAAGATACAACCATTTAATCTGAAAATGTCTTGTTTTATAAAATAATAGAAGTTTACATCTGTAACTACTTAAATATATAAAAATTTTTACATGTAAATATAAAAACATATGAGGGGATATTGTTTTTCAAAACCCCTTCAGACATATGTAAGTCCACTAGTATAAAGGACAAGATGAATAACTGAAGGCCATATTTCTTGTGGCCTGGCAGTCATCCCAAGTCAGTAGCCAAAATTTTGATTAATGTACAAAATTTGTTTTATCTACTTACTATTAAAGTGATATCTGCCAGTAAAATAAATGAGTGGGTCATGCAGCTTGGTGTTGCTATAAGGAAGAAAAGTCCTAGCATAATGCCTAGCTGTTTCTAGGAAAGGAAGCGTGAGTACACCATCAGGGCATGATACGGTTTGGTTCTATGTCCCCACCCAAATCTCCTCTCTAATTGTAATCCCCAGGTGTTGAAGGTGGGGCCTGGTGGGAGGTTATTGGATCATATGGGTGATTTCTAATGGTTTAGCACCATTCCCCTAATGCTGTCTCATAATGAATTCTCATGAGATCTGATGGTTTAAAAGTGTGTGGCAGCCTCCCCCTTGATCTCTCTCTCTCCTGCCACATAAGATGTTACTTGCTTCCTCTTTACCTTCTGGCCATGATTGTAAGTTTCCTGAGGCTTCCTCAGTCATGTGGAACTGTGAGTCAAGTAAAATTACCCAGTCTCTTTCTTTAAAAATTACCCAGTCTCAGGTAGTTCTTTATAGCAGTGTGTAAAGGGACTAATAAAGGGCGGTTAACAGTTGTATTCAAACAAAATTTCAGTGCTAACGAGGAGGGATTAGCTAACTTTTCCTGTAAAGAACCAGGTTGTAGGCCGGGCGCGGTGGCTCAAGCCTGTAAGCCCCAGCACTTTGGGAGGCCGAGGCGGGTTGATCACGAGGTCAAGAGATCGAGACCATCCTGGTCAACATGGTGAAACCCCGTCTCTACTAAAAATACAAAAAATTAGCTGGGCATGGTGGCACGTGCCTGTAATCCCAGCTACTCAGGAGGCTGAGGCAGGAGAATTGCCTGAACCCAGGAGGCGGAGGTTGTGGTGAGCCGAGATCGCGCCATTGCACTCCAGCCTGGGTAACGAGCGAAACTCCATCTCAAAAAAAAAAAAAAAAAAAGAACCAGGTTGTAAATATTTTAGGCATTGTGGGACATAAAGTCGCAAATATTCAACCCTGCCATTTTAGAATGAACGTTGCCATAGACAATATTTAAAAGAATTGGAATTGGTATGGCTGTGTCTCAAAAATTCTTTATTTGCACAAGGAGGCAAAGTGTCAGATTGGGGCTGAGGACTGTGCTCTGCAGACCATTTCTAAAGCGCTATTAACTTAATAAATAATTCTATAACTATGACGAGTAATCCTCACTCTGCAAGGGAAATTTTAATTTTCAAAACTGTACCTTAAACACAAATATTTGAAATGACTAGACTAAGAAATGAATGGCCTTTAATCTCTCAGGGGAATGGATGATTTATTTGAATCTGCTTCTCCTTTTAAGACTATTACTTTAAAACTTCATTTTAGTCAGGTTTTTGATCCTTCCTTTCCATTCTCATCTTCTCTGTTACATCTGTTGGAATGCAAATGTGAGGTGTTGTGAAGAAGGGAAAAATAACTTTAGAGTTCTGACAATTACATGTCCTGTTAACACAGGCTGATTTATTCTTCAGTAGAATAGTATTAGCTCCATGAGAGAAGAGATGTGATCTGTTCTGGTCCACATGCAATCCCCTGTGCCAAGAACAGTGTCTGGGACACAGTACATGCTCAATAAATATATGGAAATGAATAAATACCTGAATTAACATACAGACTGGGGGAACATTGTTATATGCTGTTTAAAAAATTTTTAAGCCCAGATTTCAGTGATGTTGATAGGATGCATGGAGAATCCGACTTTCTTGAGCGAAAAGAAAAACTAGTAATTTTCATAATACATTAGAGTTGGTAGGGATACTGGATATCATTCTACCTGTTCCCCTTTATGTATCAGACTGAAAAAGAGGCCCAGAGGGCCTGAGGAGTGGGTTACACACTGATTAGGGACAAAAACAGAGCCGGAAACTCTATTTTTACTCTAGAGCTTGTTTCACTTCAAAATGCTGTTTCTCATTAGTCAGATTTTCTTTTCAGAGACACAGAATCTTAATTTCTAATCAAATTTACTCTCTAAAA